GGAGGTTCTGGATGAGTTGGACCTGAAGAAGTACAACACATCACAGGAGGGACGACGGAGACTGATTCCAGCTGTGAGGAACTGCAGAAAGGCTCAGTAAGTCCAGATGTGATTAACATAATTGTTGTTTTCATTTGTATTTTGTCTCTGATGTCGTTGTTTCAGATGCTGAGAGATTTTCAGTTGGTTGTGTTGTGTCAGGTTGGCAACAGTTGTATTAAAACACTTACTGTGGGCTACATTTCTGCAGTAATCACTGTTTTAATCAAAATAATCTGTAGGAAGCTGTGATTAGTCCCACTGGAGGAACATTTCTAGTTATTGCATTGGAGATGATGTTAATATTTCTGAATGAGGATGATTGTGATGCAGGTGAAACAAATACATGTTTTTTTTTTCAATATAAGCTTAACGTGTTTTGACAGCATTTCAAATAAGCAAGATTTAAAAAAAAAAAAAAAAAAAAGTAAAATAGACACATACACATTTTCCACTGCAAAAAATAATTAATAGCCTACAGCAGTGGTCACTAATTGGTGGACCGCGGTCCGGATCCGGACCCAGCCGCTGAATTCTCTGGACTGCCGACCTACAGCCGATTTATTATTGAGAGTTACTACCTCGTGACGGAGCGTTTCTATTTTAACCCGCGCAGCTTTTCTAGCATTTACTCTACCGGTTTAGCGGCCAAGAAACTCACAGACCAATCGCATGTGCTCCAATCGTCTCATGTGGCGCTGCTCAGCCAATCAAATATGTGCATTCCGATGCTTGCGAGTCCAGTCCGCGAGGTTCACCAGAGACATTTTGGAAACACACACGAATTGAGGAGACGAAAGGGAAAACATATTTCACATGGCTTTTAATCAAGAATGTACAGATACTTACATGTACATTCCTCCCACGGCAGTTCAAAACCAGATTATCTCATAGATCTCCAATGCTAGCTGGCAGGACAAACTAGAGCTCACATTTCTCACTGACCAAGAGAAAGTAGGGAAGTGGTAGCTCTGTAAGAGGGAATGAAAGAGAAGAGGAGGCATTACAGTTCAATTCAATTTTATTTATATAGCGCCAAATCACAACAACAGTTATCTCACAGCGCTTTTCATAAAAGAGCAGGTCTAGACCATACTCTGTGATGTTATTTACAGAAGCCCAACAGTTCCCACCAAGAGCAGCACTAGGAGACAGAGGCAAGGAAAAACTTCCTTTAAGAGGCAGAAACCTCGAGCAGAACCATGACTCAGGGTGGGCGGCCATCTGCCTCGACCGGTTGGGGTGAAGGAGAGAGAGAGAGAGAGAGAGAGAGAGAGAGAGATGTAAGGAGAGAGAGAGGGGAGGGAGGCAGCCTACACAATATACACACAGTGAAGGTAATGTTGCTATAGACTAAATGAAAAATGGTACAGATATTTATAATAGTGTTAATGGTAACCATCGTAATGTTAATGATTATAATAACAATAATAACAATAAGACTAGCAACAATAGTCGTTGCAGCAGAGGGTGTCGAGCAGGAACACGGGGGCAGCAGGTGACCCGCAGCCACAGCTCCAGACTCCACAGCTCCAGAGCTAGAAAACCTGCAGGAAGTGATAGGAGAGAGGAGAGGGACGAGAAAGCACAAGACTACCAGAAAGGGGAGAAGTTGTGTTAGTAACATGCAATAATGGGATGAGGTTGCATACAGAGGGAGAGAAAGTAGAGGAGAGAGGAGCTCAGTGCATCATGGGAAATCCCCCGGCAGTCTAGGCCTATAGCAGCATAACTAAGGGATGGTTCAGGACTACCTGAGCCAGCCCTAACTATAAGCTTTATCAAAGAGGAAAGTCTTAAGCCTACTCTTAAATGTGGAGATGGTGTCTGCCTCCTGAACCCAAACTGGAACCTGGTTCCACAGGAGAGGAGCTTGATAGCTGAACGCTCTGGCTCCTAGTCTACTTTTGGAGACTCTAGGAACCACAAGTAACCCTGCATTCTGGGAGCGCAGTGCTCTGGTGGGGTAGTAAGGTACTATGAGCTCTTTAAGATAAGATGGTGCCTGACCATTAAGACCTTTGTAGGTAAGAAGAATGATTTTAAATTCTATTCTGGATTTTACTGGAAGCCAATGCAAAGAAGCTAAAACAGGAGAAATGTGATCTCTTTTCCTGGTTCCTGTCAGAACACGTGCTGCAGCATTCTGGATCAGCTGAAGAGTCTTAATGGACTTTTTCGAGCAGCCTGATAATAAGGAATTGCAGTAATCCAGCCTAGAAGTAACAAATGCATGGACTAGTTTTTCTGCATCATTTTTAGACAGGATGTTCCTGATTTTCGCAATATTACGTAGGTGAAAAAAGGCGGTCCTTGAAATTTGCTTAATGTGAGACTTAAACGACATGTCCTGATCAAAGATAACTCCAAGATTCCTCACAGTGGTGCTGGAGGCCAAGGCGATGCCATCCAGGGAAACTATATCTTTAGATAATGCGTCACGGAGGTGCTTAGGCCCCAGAGCAATAACTTCAGTTTTATCTGAGTTTAACATGAGAAAATTACAGGTCATCCAGGTTTTAACATCCTGAAGGCACATTTGAAGTTTAGCTAACTGATGAGTTTCATCTGGCTTGATCGATAGATATAACTGAGTATCATCTGCATAACAATGAAAGCTTATGGAATGTTTCCTGATAATATTGCCTAAAGGAAGCATATATAAAGTGAAGAGGATTGGTCCAAGGACAGATCCTTGAGGAACTCCATGAGTAACTTTGGCGTGCATGGAGGACTCATCGTTAACATGTACAAACTGAAATCGATCTGATAAATAGGACTTAAACCAGCTTAGAGCGGTTCCTTTAATGCCAATGAAATATTCCAGTCTCTGCAATAGGATCTGATGGTCAATGGTATCAAATGCAGCACTAAGATCTAATAAAACCAGTACAGAGACAAGTCCTTTGTCTGATGCAATAAGGAGGTCATTAGTAATTTTCACCAGTGCTGTCTCTGTGCTATGATGAGCTCTAAATCCTGACTGAAAATCCTCAAATAAACTATTGCTCTGTAGAAAGTCACACAGCTGTTTAGCAACTGCTTTCTCCAGAACCTTAGAGAGAAATGGAAGGTTAGATATAGGTCTATAGTTGGCTAAAACATCCGGATCAAGTTTGGGCTTTTTCAGAAGAGGTTTAATTACAGCTACTTTAAAGTATTGTGGTACATAGCCTGTTGATAAAGATAGATTGATCATATCTAGTATAGAGGTGCTGACTAAGGGTAGAACATCTTTAAGCAGCCTAGTCGGGATGGGGTCTAAGAGGCAGGTTGATGGTTTAGATGAAGAAATTATTGAAGTTAGTTGGTAAAGATTGAGGGAAGCAAAACAGTCTAAACATGTATCTGGTTCTACAGCTGTTTCTAAGGTTCCTGAGTTAAGAGATAAGTCGGTGCCAATTGAGGGCAGGTCTTGGTGAATTTTGTCTCTAATAGCTAGAATTTTATCATTAAAGAAGCTCATGAAATCGTAACTACTGAGAGCTATGGGAATACTTGGCTCAATAGAGCTGTGACTCTCTGTCAGCCTGGCTACAGTGCTGAAAAGAAACTTTGGGTTGTTCCTATTTTCCTCTATTAATGACGAGTAGTACGCTGCTCTGGCATTACAGCTGTTCATTTGTTATGATGTGTTGAGTGTTTATTATAAAATTGGTTAAGACTACACTTCATCACTTCAAGATACACTTTTTATTGAATTTATTCTAAAAATTAGTATGTTTGGATTACTTGGGTTGTTACCAACATCTGGTGAAAATTTCTTGTCAATAGCTCCTTTGGAAATATATTTACTGAGAAAATGGTGACTCACACCTTGACTCTGCCACCGGTGGCCCACATTTGTTTTGTGATATTTGGACCATATTTACCATTTATCACATGGGCCACTTTAGGGTCACTGGGAAACTTCCAATGGGGGCAATGTGTGTTTTCACAGCAACAAAACTGAATAAAACTGTTGACTAGTTACTGTCATATAATCCAAAAGATGGTTGCAGCGGACAGACGAGTGCATTAGCTAGTTGGAAGCAGTGTGGAGGGAAGTTATTAGCCTCATCAACTAAAAAAAACTTTTCTTAGCATGTCCTTCATCGTAATATTGAGCCTGACCGGAAACAACAGCATGGGCCTGAGGCCAAGTTTGTAGTTCTTTCATGCACATCAAAATCCATCCATCCATCCATTGTCAACCGCTTATCCAGTGTACAGGGTCGTTGGGGGGCTGGAGCCAATCCCAGCTGACATCAGGCGCAAGTCGGGGTACACCCTGGACAGGTCGCCAGTCCATCGCAGGGCCACACATAGACGAACAACCACTCACACCTAAGGACAATTTAGGGTCACCAATTAACCTAGACTGCATGTCTTTGGATGGTGGGAGGAAGTCGGAGCAACCCACGCAGACACAGGGAGAACATGCAAGCTCCACACAGAAAGGCTGGGGCAACCGGGGTTTGAATCCACGACCTTCTTGCTGTGAGGCGACAGTGCTAACCACCGCACCACCTGCCCTGCACATCAAAATATTTAATTATATTATTTTTTTATCATGTACAGGTCTAATACTGTCCAGTGTTTGTCATTTCTGTGGATGTAACCTGACAGCAGCAGGTAGAAAAGAGAGATCATCTTTCCCAACTGTAATTGTTCACTGAGTTGTAAAAATGGTTTTCTAATCCAGATGGCCTCATTTTAACTTTGTGGAGACAGACGTGGGATCAGATCACACTGACAGGGCATTATAGAAGCTTAACTGTAACTACACCGCAGGTATGAGAGAGTGATCAGAATTATTGTTTCATGTTGAACACAGTGAGATAAGAAAGCGGAAACACTGATGTGAAGAACAAATGGTCATAAAAACATGATATGAACTGTTTTGTCATCAAATGCATGAAATAAATGTAAAGTTTACTCTTTCATAATAATAACATTTTGTCATTTATGTGTGTTGACAGACTTTCTGACTGTAGACTCTCAGATAGTCACTGTGAAGTTGTGGCCTCAGCTATGAAGTCCAACCCCTCCCATCTGAGAGAGCTGGACCTGAGTAACAACAAGGTGCAGGATTCAGGAGTGAAGCTGCTTTCTGCTGGACTGGATAGTCCACACTGTAGACTGGAAACTCTGAGGTCAGTTCACAGACTCTCCAACACATTCTCATCTCAGTGTGTAACTGCTTTCAGACAATTATTTTACACTAAGGTACCCTTCAGCGTCCGTATGAAATGCCACAATTTGCTACGTCCCAGCAACACAAAGAAGGCTAACCCTACAGCTGTAGGGTTGACACACATAAAGTCAGGGACTTAGGTTTAGGTACTAACATTTCTGATGGTTATGGTAAGGGTAGGGGGCTTCAGGGGGCTGTCAACCACTTTAACATGAACATAGCTAGCTAGGGTTAGGGTCTGGGTTAGGGTTATATTCGGTCTGTACAAGATGCCCCAGAGTGTGGTGAAGCCAGGTCTCCATCTCTTCTGCACGTGTTCCTCTGCTGCCACTATACACATACATGCTACGCCTACACATGTGCACTGACGACCCAGGGTTAGGGTTACAATTTTGGATTTATTTACGCACTTTTAAAAACATTGATTGAAAGTTTTATTCTTCTTACATGTTTATTTACAGCATCAAACAATGGAATGTATATTGTAATAGGCTGTGTATTAACTTATTGGGAGAAAACTGGTAGTTTTATGTAAAATCAGACGTTGAGCAACCCCATATCACCAAAATGGCATGATCCTTGTTTCGCTGCGAAGCTTCAACTGTGATTGACAGTCGAATCAGGCCCATCGAAGCATTGAATATTCTACTATAGGGGGTCAGCCCTACCGTGTATGGTTCGTTCTTTGATTATTTCGTTTCAAAACCAAATCAGAAAAAACAAAAAAAACAAGTCATTTTTTGTTTTTTACATTTTTAAAACCAAAACGGAAAAATATTGATTTTGATATTTAATGAGTCCAGTTTGTGTAGCTTTGTGTGTTACACTTGATAAACCTGCAACAGATACACTTGGGCGATGGCAGTGCCTGATTAAATGTAATTAAGATGAGCTTGAACATCATATAAGTTGGTTTTTAGTTTGAGAAACAGGACAATATTATATAGCTGCAGTACCGGAGGCTGCAGCTGTATTATATTGGCTCAACGTTCAGTTTGTAACTCACTAGCAACTGGAACAGAATGCTGAGAATCGTCCGGTTTATAAAATTTATTCATTTTAAAATTAATTCACTGATAGTTGTTGGTACATCCAATGGTACACAGCAAACATGAACTGTTATTAGTTAATTCAGCAAGCTGGAATTAACAAATCATACACGGATTAAAAGGTTTGGGTATTTTTCATTCAGCCTCTCTAGGCTACACTATTTCGACCTTACCTTTATTTTCTGAGATGGAAGAATTTAGTAAGCTGCGCGCCGCGGCAGAGAGCCTCCAGCTGCAGGAACACATGGATTATGAGCATCGGACTTCATCCAGCCAGAGGGAACGACCTCTGACCGTCCAGTGTGCCGGTTCCACTGGCAACAAAACCCATAGGTCTACCGCCGGAGAGGGAGCAGGCGCTGGAGCGTACAGGGTGAGAGAGAGGAGGTCACGGGAGCAACCTGGTGCACTGCGGTCGGTAATCCCTCTGGCTGGACTGATTTATGCATGATTCATTATGATAGGCTACAGAAAAATAGAAATGAATGGCAAAAATAGCATATTGTAGATGTTTTAGAGACTCTCAAAATATTACAAACCATGTTTTCAGGGGAGCTCATGTCATATTAAGAGGAGTAAAGCTACCAAAACAAAACAAAATGCTTCCTTGATGCTGACGGACTTTTGATATGTTGATATGAGATGCGATGCGACCTGAAAATAAAATAAAATAAGAAGTGTCAGACTTCATCCAGTCAGAGGGAACGATCACCGACAGTACACAGCGAGCCAGTCGCTCCACGATCTCCTGTCCCTGGTCCGCCCCCCTCCCTCTCCGGTACGGGTTGTGTCGCTATTACGACGGACGCGCTGTGAACCATTCCTGATCGTTCCCTCTGGCTGGATGAATATTAGGCATGCACTACTGCAGCTGGGGGGCTCTCTGCAGCGCCAGGCAACTTTCTAAATTCTTCCTTCTCACGGAACAAAAAAAAAGGTCAGATGCAAACACAGCTGCAGCTGTTGTGTGATGTGTAGCCGAATTGTAGCAAAATGGCTACATATGATAATAATTATAATAATAAAAAGATGGGGTGGTGATGGAACAGTGGATAAGACACATGCCTTGGGTGTGAGAGACCCAGGTTCAATTCCCCACTGTGACACATGCACCAATGTGTCCCTGAGCAAGACACTTAACCCCTACTTGCTTGCGACCTCTGATATACATAGAAATTGTAAGTAAGCTTTGGATAAAAGCGTCAGCTAAATGACTAATTATTATTATGACTAATTAAAAAGATTAACATGCCTGAGCTCCTTTGTTTTCGGTTATGGGTTTGAAACAGAAAAAAAACAGATGTCTGTTTTTTTGTTTGCCGTTTTTCCATTTTGGTTTTAAAACAGAAAAAAACAAAAAAGGTCTTTGTTTTTAGTTTTTTCCGATTTGGTTTTGAAATTAAATAATGAAAGAACGAATCGTACATGGATTCTGTTTAAAGGATCAATCTAGTTTTTCTCTAATTCCAGACTGGCCTGAGAACAGCAGCATGTTATTGATCTGTGTTGACATGAATAGGTGTATGAATGTTGTGCTGACATTTGGATGATGTCTGTAGAAGGCTGACATTATGATGATCCACAATAACACAATGACAAAGTCCCTCTACTCATTTTAGGGAAATGCTCATTGATTAGGACATAGTAATGTTGAGCTCCACATTTAAAACCTGAACACATCTGATTGGATTAGAAATGGATTTTTATCTCATCATTTATTCTTTATTCAGACTAGAGGGCTGCAGGTTATCAGAGATCAGCTGTGCTTCTCTGGCCTCAGCTCTGAAGTTCAACCCCTCCCATCTGAGAGAGCTGGACCTGAGTGACAACAAGCTGCAGGATCCAGGAGTGAAGCTGCTGTGTGGTTTTCTGGAGAGTCCACACTGCAGACTGGAGACTCTGAGGTCAGACACCATTTTTCCTTTTGTGGTGAGATTAATATGATGTGAAAGTTGTGGTGACACTAAACTGCAGACATAAGGCTGATATTATACTGATCCACACTGAGGATCTTAATGCTAAAGTCTATTTTCTTCTTCAGTGGTTTTGTCCATTGACTGTGGCAGAGCAATGTTGAGCTCCACATTTAAAACCTTAATATTACTAGAACAATCTCCACTGAATAATTCATTTTGAAGCTTTTAAACACATGACTTCCATTTTGTATTTCCATCATGTTTTTACATAAATGATAATAAACTACATAAATACAATGAATAAATATCAGACAATAACAAATATATTCAGTATTTGCTTTTCCAACATTGTTCTGAGCTGTATGATGCTTATAATGACTGAATAGTTTAAAGTGAAGAAGCTTTGATTTGATGACTCTAATATTCCTAAAATAAATATTGTAGATGTCTTTTGTTCACATTTCCCCAAAGTTCATCCTGACATATTTGGCATCTTTGGAAACTCTGGGATCTTGAGTGGAATCTTAAATCAGTTTCTGTGAGTTTTTCTTTGTTTTTGGCTGCACAACACGAGTTTGAATACAGGGAGCCACTGGTGGAGCTGCAGAGTTTAAGAGGTGAAGTCACTACGTCTTTATTGAAGTAGCAGCACATTGTCATTAATATTAATGAGAGCTCTTTTTACCTTTTTGTATTTTACAGTTTGAACCTACATCCTGTTGGGTTCAGGTGTTTGGAGTTTCCATTTTCTAAACTTCTGCATTCTAAACCTTCTTCAGCTCTGAATAATTATTAAAGGAGAACTCTTAAACTGCTTTTCCAGACCTATATTGTAATTCTGTGACTCCTGTATGGCAGCTTTGCATGATTCAAAGTTCAAAAAAACATTTTATTTTCTTATACTGACTCTTCATGTAGGCCTTCATTTCAGCTTCTGTGTGAAACAAGCTGCAAATGCTCCTGTCTCTTTAAGCCCCCCCCTCTCAAAGCCCACTGTCTTCTGATTGGCCAAGACCTGAAGCATGTTACCAGGCTGCTGTTGTTGCTGGGCAGAACAGGCAGACTGAGCCGTTGGTGGGTGTTGCTTTGGGAACACATGCCCATATATGGAACACCGGCTCCATCTGGCTCCGTATTACATAGAACGGAGCCCTTGGTGGAAAAAGCAGTTGAAAACAGAGCCTTCAGAACAGGAGGAAATCTGAGGTTTTTGCTCACAGGGATTTCTTTTAAATACTTCAACCTCATTTTTTTGTAGCTTTGGCCATGTTTAACATGAACATCCAACATTATGTAGATAAGTCATAAAAAGTGGAAAAGCATAATAGGTCTCCTTTAAACACTGAATGATTTCATTGTCTTCTAAAGTTACATCATTTATTCTTTATTCAGATTGAGTTCCTGCAGTTTGTCAGAGATCAGCTGTGCTTCTCTGGCCTCAGCTCTGAAGTCCAGCCCCTCCCATCTGAGAGAGCTGGACCTGAGTGACAACGAGCTGCAGGATTCAGGAGTGAAGCTGCTGTGTGGTTTTCTGGAGAGTCCTCACTGCAGACTGGAGACTTTGAGGTCAGTTCACTGACTCTCTGTTACTATTGTAGATCTGATATGTTTAATTAACAATTGAAGCTAATTTCTGTTCATACATAACTTCCATCCATAAAGTTGTAAATGTCCTTTTGTTCATATTTTATGTTTCTTGTACTACATTTACCTGATGCTTTTATCCAAAGTGACTTACAATTGCTATACATGTTAGAGGTTGCACACCTCTGGAGTAACGAGGGGTTAAGTGTCTTGCTCAGGGACACAATGCTGGATGTCTCACAGTGGGAATCAAACCCAGGTCTCCCACACCAAAGGCAAGCATCTTATCTATGCGCCATCACCACCCCTCTAAATTTAGTCTGCAGTCACAAAGACTTGTGTTTCTTAAAGAAACTGTAGAAAATGTCCACTGTTAGTCGTTAAAGTAAATGAGTGTTTCTAATTTTTGGTAAATGGTCACATCTGTATACAGAAGATCCTTTGAACTAATATTTGTTTTAAACTGATCACTTGTTGAAGTAGAAATATTTCTTCTCAGATCAGCAGCATGTTATTGATCTGTGTTGACATGAATAGGTGTATGAATGTTGTGCTGACATTTGGATGATGTCTGTAGAAGGCTGACATTATGATGATCCACAATAACACAATGACAAAGTCCCTCTACTCATTTTGGGGAAAAGCTCATTGATTAGGACATAGTAATGTTGAGCTACACATTTAAAACCTGAACAAATCGGATTGGATTAGAAATAGATGTTAACCTCCATCATGTATTATTTATTCAGATTGAGTTGCTGCAGTTTGTCAGAGATCAGCTGTGCTTCTCTGGCCTCAGTTCTGAAGTCCAACCCCTCCCATCTGAGAGAGCTGGACCTGAGTGAGAACTACAACCTGCAGGATTCAGGAGTGAAGCTGCTGTGTGGTTTTCTGGAGAGTCCACACTGCAGACTGGAGACTCTGAGGTCAGACATAATTTTTTCCTTCTGTGCTGAGATTAATATGATGTGAAAGTTGTGGTGACACTAAACTGCAGACATAAGGATGATATTATACTGATCCATACTGAGTAACTTAATACTAAAGACTATTTTCGTCTTCATTGGTTTAGTCCATTGACTGTGGCAGAGCAATGTTGAGCTCCACATTTAAAAACTTTATAATTAACTTTATATATTTATATAAATATAGACTCGAGTGGCAATGATCGGGATCCAAGCAAGTTGCAATAAACGCAACATTTGACATTTTCAGAGAAGAAGAAATGCAAACGACTTGACAGATTAAAGTGAAGAAGAAAGAATTTTGAGCTAATTGCGGAAACGCAAACTTGATTTTTACAGCATCACCTTGATATCAGAGAGTGTCATTATATGTACCTATGTTCAACCCACGTGTGACATTTTGTGATTTCAAGTTTAAGCTGCACAAACACTTTTTAGCAGAGAAAAATAAGAAGTATCATAAAATGAAGACCTTACACTCGGTATGATCTGAACACCCCCATTGTAAGCAAGTCTGACTTGGTCATTGGGGATTTGAACCCTGAAACTTAAGATCTCCAGAGTAAGTGACTTACTGACTGAACCACTGGTGAGAGGATTTTTCCACACACCTTCTCACAAGTTGAGGTAGTGACGTCACATGTGCCAGACCTGGATACTTTTGTCAGTTTAAACTTAAAATGCTTACAAAACAATTCTGAAAACTGAGGAAAAAGAAAATGTTGTGAATACTGGACAAGTTACAGCAAGAAACTGAATATCACTGCAGACTCACCATTTGACCGATCTAAAACTCCTTTGAAACACTTTATCAGCCATCTAGAGAATGTCTGGGTTGATTTTGGTAGCGTTTGAACGAAGACTTGTGGAGATATAGATGATAATTGATTTAGCATATTCTCAAAGATATAGAGTGACTGACTTCTGAATTGACCATAGGTTGCAGTGAAGCAAATATGTATGTATGTATTCTAACAATTATGTATTCTTGTGCCCCTACACCTGAGACTGCCTGTGCAAATTTGCAGTTAGACTTTGCCTCATTACAATCTGCCCTGTTTGATTTGAAGCTACTTTTAAATGAAAAAAGACAAAGGCAATGATATTTGCACCTATAAATACTAAAGTCCCAGCTCTAGCTATTAACACATTGCAAGATGAAGCCACTGAACTTACACTGATAAGAGCATTTATGGATGACCTCACAGTCACTACAGAGTCAGTCCCAGGCTTGCTGGTGGATTCTAAAGGGTCTCGAAAAGCTAATGGAGTGGGCACAGATGCGTTTTAAACCGGCCAAGTCAAGATCAATGGTGCTGGGAAGAGGAAAGGTGGATGACGAGTCCCGGTTCAGCTTCGCAGAGGCAACAATCCCGACCGTCACTGAAAAGCTTGTCAAAAGCTTAGCCAAGGTGTTTGACAGCACCCTGAGGGATGCATCATCCGTCCAGTCAACCTGCACTGAGCTGGATAGATAGAAGTCAGTGGATCGGTCTGGATTGCCAGGGAAGTTCAAAGCTTGGCTATACCTGTGGCCACTCCTCATCTATGAAGTGCCAATCTCGACTGTGGAAACCTTAGAGTGGAAGGTCAGCAGCCACCTCAGAAAATGGCTGGGGCTTCCAAAAAGTGTAAGTAGCATCACACTCTATGGGCAGCGCAACAAACTGCAACTGCCACTCAAGTACTTGGAAGAGTTCAAGGTAACGAGAGCCAGGGAAGTGTTGCAATATAGAGACTCAAGTCGATTCAAAGGTGGCAAAGGCTGGGATTGAAGTGAGCACTGGTCGGAAGTGGAAGGCTGAGGGGGCTGTTCGACAAGCAGAGGCAAGATTACATCACAACAGGCTGGTGGGAGTGGTAAAAAGAGGCAGGGCTGGACTGGGTTCCTTTTCAACTCCCCACATTGACACCATAAAGGGAAAGAAAGGTGCCGCCTAGTCCAGGAGGAGGTGAGAGCAGTGGTCAAGGAGGAGAGAACCTTTAGAACAGTGGGAATGAGGCAACAGGGTGCCTGGATACGATGGGAGAACGTGATCAAGAGGAAGGTAATAGTGGGCGGACCTGTGGAAGGCAGAGCCACAGCGGATCAAGTTTTTCATCCAGGCAGTATATGATGTGCTTCCCAGCCCATCAAACCTTCACATATGGGGCAAAGTTCAGTCACCAGCATGTCCACTGTGCTCCAAGTGTGGAACCCTAGAGCACATTCTGAACTGCTGCTCAAAGGCACTTGGAGAGGGAAGGTACAGGTGGAGACATGACCAGGTGCTGAAAGCCATCGCTGAAGCCATCGCTGTAGGAGTCAAGTGGGCCAAGCGCTCACCTTCATCAAAGCTGGAGAGCAGCCAAGACCAGCTGCAAAAACATCCTGCAGGCATCAGGATCAGCAGGCATCCTGGCCAATGCCAGGGACTGGCAGCTGTTGGTGGACCTGGAGCAGCAACTCAAGTTCCCCAACCACATTGGGGACCACCACCTTAAGACTTGTCTGAGTCTACCAAACAAGTGGTTCTGTTGGAGCTAACAGTCCCTTGGGAAGACCACCTGGAAGAGGCCTTTGAAAGGAAGCTCACCAAGTACAAAGGACTGGTCAGCGAGTGTCAAACAGCCGGATGGAGAGCAAGGTGTCTCCCTATAGAGGTCGGATGCAGGGGCTTTGCAGCCCGATCCCTGTTCAGAGCCTTCAGTCTGTTAGGAATCGTTGGAGTGAGGAGGAGAAGAGCCATCCACAATACCACCAAAGTGGCAGAGAAAGCCTCAAGATGGCTATGGTTCAGGAGAGGAGATCCATGGGGGCAAAGTAGCTGGATTCGCCAACTGGACACAAGTTGGGGTCTGATCAGCCTTAACTGGGTCGCATGGATGAGGGTGTATGATGTTGAAAGACCCAAAACACCCAATGATTCCAGGAACATCACTGAAGATGTGTCCAGCAGCATCAGTAGATGTATTTGCACATAAATACTTGACCCTTTTATCATGCGGCTCTCAGATTCATCACAAACGGTGGCTATCAGACACATCACTGCATCTTATACAGTATGGTAAATTGGCCATCACTCAAACTGCGCAGGATGCTACATTGGTACAGTTTTATTTATAAAGCTATTTTAGGTCTTTTGCCTTCTTATATCTGTTTAAAATTTGTTCATATGCAAAGTACATATCATTTAAGATCTAGTGACAGACTACTGTAAGGTACCAAGAATGAGGACAGAAGCAGGAAAGAGGAGTCTTGTCTTGGCCCTTCGTCCTGCAATGAACTCCAGTCTAGGCTTAAGATTGGTGCGCTAATTACCTTAGCTGCTTTTAAAAAAAGAATATCTGACATTCTGACAGACATATGCACTTGTTTTTAAGGTAGGTAGATCTCTACATTTAGTCCTTATTTCGTTTGTTTATATACAGTAATTTAAACTCATTGCATTTTGTCTATGTAAATATTTTGTAAACTTTGTGTAAATCTGTATTGTATTTAATTTACGTAATGTATTTTTACTTTTTCAGCTCATGGTTGAAAGATTGTGTTTTATTTGTGCTATACAGGACTCCCTTGTAAAAGAGACTATGTCTCAATGGGACATTTCCTGTTTATTTATAAAAGGTTTATATATATATATATGTCACCTATCAGTGGATTAGCTGAAAATTTGAGCTCTTTAGGACGTACAGGTTTTCTTAGATTTTTAAAGTTTGTAGTGAACCAGCCTGTGTTGGTTTAATTATTTTATGCCAAAAAGGTTTGCTACACTCCCAAGTGCTGTTTGGGCAGTGTTGACCATAAAACCTGCCACCTCCGGTGAAGTTGAGATAACAGACTCTATGCCTGACTGTTAAAATGACAATATTAACCTTGTCCAGAGACTAACCTCATCCTGAACTAGGCTATCAGGACCTCTTCGAACCGAGGTCAGAAAACTCTAAACACTCCCCAAGACCAAAAGGGCAGGGTAACCATGGTAACAAAATACTCCTTTCAGATTACCTTAGACATCAAATAACCCCCTTTTTTCAGTCTTGATTCTCTACCCCAAAGAGCCATTAACATGGACTCTTAACATCCCCTCTCCCTTTTCAATTCAATTCAATTTTATTTATATAGCACCAAATCACAACACAGTTATCTCACAGTGCTTCATAAAAGAGCAGTTCTAGACCGCACTCTGTGGTGTTATTTACAGAAGCCCAACAATTCCCACCAAGAGCAGCACTCAGCGACAGAGGCAAGGAAAAACTTCCTTTTAAGAGGCAGAAACCTCAAGCAGAACCATGGCTCAGGGTGGGCGGCCATCTGCCGCGACTATTAATCGTAATGTTAATGATGATATTAACAATAATAATAATAGGACTAGTAACATTAAAGCTGCAAGCAGCGTTGGGCGGGCCCTCGCACTGTAAGCGCGTCCGCGTGTGAGCCGGCCGAGTTGCACATTCTGGAGCTCTGCCGGTGCGGCTGTGAATTTGTTACGCAGTTATGACGCTGCATGAAGGTGCTATATGTCACTTCCTGTGTCCCCTATGTGGAGCTACATAGCACTTGCCGCTATGAATATAAATCGGTATTGGTGTGTAGATGTCTGCGGGGTGGGAGAGTTATCAAGCACGTAAAGTTTGTTTCAGATGTGAGCATGTACACTGAACAATAATGTACCCAAACAATAAAATAAATTCCTTTTATATTTCCCTGCCTTGTTGTTTATGTGTACATACAGAGGAAGAATGTGAGAACAGCACACATTTCATCGTTACTGTGTTTCTGCTCCAGCCTGCCTAAAAGAAAAGCGTTTTTGGGATTAAATGGACTTTATTAGCTGCTGCAGTGCAGGATGAACTCAGAACAGACCCATTTCTCACCTTATTATTCTAAACCATGCAACGAAGAAGAAGAAATGCATAATAAATCCTGGGACAAAATCTGTCCACAAATACTGTACAGCATGTAGTCTAATGAACAAGAC